GGACCTGTGCATTAAAGGACGAGGATTCTGAGGATTCTGACATGAGGAGAGATCACAGTAAAGAGCCCATATGACACGCTCTTCTGATCTTTGTTCTAATGTAGTTTCTTCATCAAAAACAGACCTGAACTTGTGTTGTGTCTCATTCACATGTTTAACACACAAACCCTGAATATTTAGCAGCATTCTAACATGGCATAAAGCTCACAAGAGTCTATTTTGTGTACCGTATTTTCCGCACTATAGGGCGCACTTAAAAGCCTTTCATTTCATCCAAAAACGACTGTGCGCCTTATAATCCAGAGCGTCTTATATATGAATTTATTTGTGTGTCTTAGTACGACTTTAGTAAACTACAAAGCCGCTCCACTTGCAGCATTACGGCTCCCGTAGTCAGGAGCATCAGGAGTAATACAGACTGTGATTCCTTTTAATATCAAAATGCACCTGTCAAGAGACACGCTCACAACGCCTACTTTAAAGGCTTTTATAAAGTTAAACTAAAGCTAAACATACATTTACCAAGACCGGGAGACAGCGCAGAGCGATTTACGCCATGATCTGCCAATGGATCGTGGACGCCTGGGCTAAGGATCAGTATCAACTGTGGTCTGAGCTTTCACCAAGACCAGAATCATCACTGACCTGCCAGAGAACAGTAACCACACTGACTCGGATAATGACGAGAGGGATGTGGGCGTGCTGGACGCCAGAATCACCCAACTGTTTGAACTATTATGAGTTATTGTGTATACTTTAACAATTTACCGTCTCACACAGTATTTTTATTTTTTTTACATGTTACAATTGGACAAAGTTAAGAGTTATTGTGAATGCGTTAAATAAAGTTTGACTGACTTATCTAACGGTTGTGTTTCTTTTAATGCGCCTTATAATCTGGTGCGGTTTATATGTGAAAAAAGTTTGAAAATAGACCATTCAGAGACAGTGCGCCTTATAATCCAGAGTGACATATAGTGCAGAAAATACGGTAATATTGGAACTTTAAATGAACCTTTTTTTTTTTTTTTTTTTATATAAGTTGTGCAACCCAACTGAAGAGTCACTCAGACATGTGTGAGCTCCAGGTTTGTTTTTGAGGAGTGAACGTTAGAACATGACTTTAAGCTCACAAGAATCAGAAAGAAAAGGAACATGGAACTTTAAGCTGTTGTATAAGTTTATAAGCACTTTTCACAACTTCCACACACCAGAGCATATAAAGCACTGCTGACCACAACTGGCATGCTAACAGCGCACCTGCCTTACTTCCTGGTTTGCAGATAGTAATAGTACAGACAGAACACCATGATCCCCAAGATCTGCTCTCCTCACATATCTGTACTAAGACATGACAAATGATTCTTTACTACATGCACCGCAAAAAATGAAATCTAGCCAAGTTAAGATTGAATTAAGGATTTTCTATCATGATTTGAGAAAATTTCACTTGACAGGTAAAATTATCTGCCAATGAAACAAGACTTTTTGTACTTAAAATATGAAAATACATCTTGCACTTAAAATAAGAAAAATAAAAACTCTTTGCAGTTAAAATAAAAAACAAAATTAATGTTACTTGAATTAAGAAAAACACACTTATTCCATTGGTAGATTATTCATTATCAAGTTTAATCAACCCAAATAAAGTCAAATGTTGTTAATTTAAGTCATTTTAGCTTACCTCAATATTACTTTTTGTAGTGTCTGGTGATCATTTATCGACTTTAATACTGTGCATGTTTTTTACCTGTGATCCTGGGAAATTTGCCTATATTTTAAGGATTAAAGAACCAGGCACGAATAAATCTAAATACAGCTTTATTTCTGAAGAGGAAACACTGTTAAAACACGGATCAAAGCTCAGAACTGTACATGTCTGTATAATGTGTGACTTTTAAACGTCCTAAATTACACAAAATATACTGTTGTGAGCTTTAAGTCATGTCAGAACGCTGTTACCTCCCCAAAAACACACCTGGACTTGTGTTTGTTTCATTCACACATGTTTGAGTAACTCTTTATTATTAGTCTGTCTACATCTTCAAAGATTAAAATGCTCTTTTCCGCCTTGTGATGTCATGAAGTGGTAGTTTTCAAGTGATCCTCTCCTTTTACCTTCAGTTCAGTAGAGAATATCAATTTCAGATCTAAAATCATCCAAATGATTCTAAATGAATGAAGGTGTGTATCACCACGTGACATCACAAGGTGGGACAGAGTTTTTGGAGAGAAGAGCTCAACCTAAACGTGCAGGTTTGTGTGTCAAACGTGTGAATGAAACAAAACACAACTCCAGCTCTGTTTGTGATGAAGAACAGAACATTCGAACAGACATCAGAACAAAGTGTCATAAAGGACTTTTAATCAGAACTTTACCCAGCACCAGAACGGCCATTTTACATCTCCCACTTTCTGTAGCGTTTTGATTGATTGAAACATATCTCCCATTTGTAATTTTCTCCATGACTAGTGAGACGTCAGAGATATGAACTCCTCAGTGCGCATTCATTATAGTGTTATTAATAAATCCTTACTGTCATTAATCACAAAGAGACTCCCACAGACTGGAGTCCTCCTTAAGACTGACACAATCAGTCCAGCGCTAATGCTAACTGTTATCTCTGCTAAATGAGCCGTTTGTATTCATTTAACTCCACTGTCGAGAGGAATGCTATGTGGCTAAAGCAATATATATATATCTCTTTAAAAGTTAAAAGTGCCGTGCCTGATTAAGTTCGTTTGAAACAGTTTGCAGTGGTCCAAAGTTCTTCCTCACTTTATGCCAGTGCTTCTCAATTATTTTCTGCCACACCCCCCAAGGAAGAAGAAGAAGAAATAATTCCATACGTCTCCGCTCTCCCCCGCGACTGTTAATAGTATCATCTGTATTCACAAAGTGGGACGATAGTTGGTGATATTTGGCACGTTTTTGCTGAAAAACTCAAGCGTCTTATCAGTGTGATCGGGGTGTAATGTCTTTAAGTGACGCCTTCATTTATTTGGTTTCGTGCTGTCCGCTGCCCACATTTTTAGACACTGTAAACGTTCTTTCCTCATTTCCCGCCGTAGTGAAGCCCAGTGCTACATACTCTTTGTCATGTTTCCTCGTCTTAACTTTCAGGAGACTGTCATTTGTTTCATTATTATTATTATTATCCCTGTTCGATATTTTTCCATGGTGTCTCTTGAGGGTTTGTTCATTGCACTTCGTATCTCAGAGCAAAACACCTGACACTACACTGCCAACTACTGTGGTGGATGTGCAATTACACTTTATTCTAGTATGACAAAAGAAGAAAAAAAAAAAGCACATTCCCTGAAGTCACACTATTTGAGAAGGACTGCCATCTGCATTCAGAGTAATCTAATTACTCACCGTGAGGAGTTTGTAAGAGACCAGAGTGGAGTTTTGCTGTGACTGTAATAATGATCTAGTATTGGACTATTTCTGTATATAAATATCTACAACACACAGACACAGAGTCAGGAGTACAGTCCAGTTTAAATAGTTCACTTGATATAGTAAAGGAGCACTGGAGCTTTTCTGGTGGTTGAAAACAATGACATCTCCATGGAGACAGGCAGGTATCAGGCCCTTCACCAGAAAGTCACACAGTGCATCTTTAATGGAGGTGGCATATTCTATTGGGGGGGCCTTCGAGAGCAGTCTGGGTCTCGGAAGGTCTGACACTCGTCGAGTGCGTTCATATTTCATTACGGCCACCACTGGTATAAACTTGTACCGATGTGTGGAGCCAGCAGACACTGTGTCTCTACACACAGCCCCAGTGCGGCTTGTCCACAACAGCATGTGCCCTCGTCTCAAGGCAGATGAAACTCTTTAAAACATGATCCTACCTGTCCATCTGCCTCACGTCAGCGCTCCTCCTCACCTTTTCTGACACGCTTTCCCCCCACATCACTTCCTCCTCAGTGTGCACTGATTTGAAGAGCAACAACAAACTTGAAGCAAAAATATATCCACATAAAAGTGCACAAAGTTTGTATTTGTCAAGATGGGCATTTGGTTTGGTAAATGTGCAGAGGCTGGTAAATAGGCTACACAAAACCAGTAAGAGAAAGTGACTCCAGTTAAGAACTTAAATCCACTTTACTCACTTTGAAGGAGTTTTGTGTAAAGTGCCAGTGGAAGAAGAGGGTCTCAAACTGTGGGTGAGGGTCCAAAAAAAAGGCGCAGAGTGTTTAAGTGCAGTACAGGTGGTCTTGAGTCTTGAGTTGGTCTCGATGGGCTGTGGTCTCACTGTTGAACCTCAGGTCTTGGTCTTGTCCTGGTCTGGACCCTGTGTTCTGGGACAGGTCTTGGTCTCTAGGCAGTCTTGACTACAACATTATGAAAAACTATTGTCTAATGCTCGTTAGCTCATGACTTTCTGTGTGAGAGACTTGTTTAGATTGAATTACAGTTGTACTCACAGTAGTACTTTACTGTCATATAGATCCAAAATGTGGCTGAAATTTGGCAATGAAACAGCAGCTCCATCACATAAACGTCGTTTTTAACACAAATCAGCTCACCTGTAGCTCCAACTAAACCAGTGCTTTCTGGTCAGATTGTGTTAAAACAAAGTGCATAAAGTCTAACTTGAGTTACAGAACGTCAGACAGAGCAGAACCTCCAGTTAGCATCACGTCAGCTGCAAAGTATCCATTGGAAAAGTTACACAGCTCGCCAGAAAACATGATACATAATTTAAACTTGAAATAACACAGTAACATTTCTTAAATAAAATCGCTCAATGTTGAAATCCCAGAGCAGAAAGTGCGATTGTGTTTAGTCCGTACATTTATAATAAAAGCTAATTAGCCCGGGGCCTATTGTAATTACTCTGCACCAATTAATACGGTACAGGGAAGTCATAAGTCATAATTCATGTCAGTGAAAGGCCAAAATGATGTATGCGCACAAGTCAGCCGAACGAATGGAGTTTATGTGAACGATGGAACACACTGGACTAATTAAAGGTGTTCCAGAGCAGCTCAATCAAACAGGAGGAGAAACGAGCCGCTAACGACGTGTGCTAAAAACGAATCGATTACGACGACTTCAGTTCAGAATGTTTCACTTGTTTGTGAGTAGTTTTGATTTAGAATTACTGAATGTGATTTATAAGTGTAAAAGGTGTAAAGAAAACATGTTATAACATCTCTATTTTCTGATCTCAATCCGTGTATCATCTGTTCATTTGTTTTTCAGTATTAAACCAAAAATAAGAAAATGAAAAAAACTACTATTTTCTTCATTATTTGTCTCCAAAATCAAAATGAAAAAATGGATAACAATTCGTTTTTTCAGTTTTTGATTTTGTGTTTAAATGAAAAATGGAAAAAATGGATAACGGCCGTTTATGTGAATTCTGTGACTGCGATGCCGAACTTTTGCACTGCATACGGACTGAACCAGGACTCATCCAGGTCTGGGACCAGACCGGGGCAAGAGCAGACTCCAAGCTTTGATTCCGAGCCTCCGCAGGGTCCGAGCCTCAGCTTCAAGCTCTGGCCCCGCCGTGGGCTCTCCTCCGGGTCTGGTCATGGCCTGGTCTCGGTCTCAGTCTCGGTCTCAGTCCCAGTCTGGTCCCGGTTTGGTCCTGGTCTGATCTTGGTCTCAGTCCGTCTGGTCCCGGTTTGGTCCTGGTCTGATCTCGGTCTCAGTCCCAGTCTGGTCCTGGTCTGGTCCTGGTCCTGGTTCCGGTCTCAGGTCTGGTCCTGGACCTGGATCAGTCCTGGTTCAGTCCGTATGCGGTGCAAAAGTCCAGCATCACATTCACAGTAAACGGGAAACGGCCGTTATCTGTTTTTTCCATTTTTCATTTAAACACAAAATCGAAAACTGAAAAAAACGAATCGTTATCTGTTTTTTTTTTTCATTTTGGTTTTGGAGATAAATAATGAAGAAAATAATTGTTTTTTTTTCGTTTTCTTATTTTTGGTTTTATATTGAAGAACAAGTGAACAAATGATATACAGATTAGACTCATATAATAATGGAGTTACTCAAACTTGTGTGAGTGAAACAAAAGACTCAGGTCTGTTTTTGAGGGGGTAACAACATTATAACATGACTTAAACACTGTATCGAGGATTTTCCAAGGAAAGAGAAATACAGCGACTGTTTGTGGCTTTTCAAATGTTGCGCATGCATTGATTTGCTGTTGAAGTTTTTCCTGTCCAGAAGTCATTTAGCGACCAACGCGTCAGTCTGTACACTCTTCGTCTGCTTCAGTCGCACCATCGCTGGAAGAAATCTCCAAGAATCACCTTAGTTTAGCTTCGCTCCTTTTCCCCTTCTCTTCTTCTTTCAGCGACCTCAGAAATGGACTTTCTTTTGAGGCTAAAGCCGGGCGTATACTTAGTGATTTTTGGCACGTTTTGAGGTGGTTTTTCACTCGTGCGACTGTTTTTGGCTTAATCTTGTGTTGTGCTTCGTGTAGAAACATGCGGTAACAAGAACCGTCTAATACCTCATGACCAGCTCCCGATCACCAATCGTAGGTTGCAAGAATATCAAACCTATTTGAAATCCAGTCGCCTCTTGTGAGGGTTTCACTCTGTTGAAGTATGGGGGAGAACAATCATGAGTGGTGAACTTTTAAACCCTGTGATTTGGTCGTACAGTTTGATTTGGGGCTGAATTAACGGATCGGAAATATCAAACAATGTATGTCTGGCATAACTGGTTGTAGATTGTTGTCTGCCATTGCAACAAACTTTGTGCTAACTGCGAGGAAGCTACAGTTTGAAAAAGCTGCTGGGAACCTCTGTGTTGGTCGAGCAAATGGCATCTTGCGTATGTGGAATGCGTGAGAGGCATAAACCCCGTTATTCCAGCGTGCCAGCGACGCAGTTACGTCATCATCATTCCAAGGCCCCTGCATCTCTATTTTGCTATTTTGAACTTTCATTGACAATTTGAAACTAAAGAAAATCCTCCATACATCCTTTAAAGCTCACAAGAGTCCACTTTTCCTAATCTAGGACCTTTAAGTAACTCCATGATACACAACTTAATGCCGTACTATGGGACATTCCGGGCAAAGCAGTGGCATTATCTTGAACAAGCAGATGGCAGATCCTCAACCAGAAAAGTGACTAAACAAGTTTCATTTCCATGTATTCACTTAGGAGCAGATCGGTATGGCCCAAAAGTGTCTGAAGTGAAGCGTCCCTCTCTGTCTGAGGGTTTGAAGTGGACCCTGAGGGCCACTGGCTCCTGGGACATCTGGGCCATTACCAGATGGTGTTAGCTAAGGTGTGACTCAGATGACCACGAGACGACTGGACAAGAGAACACAGACTCAAGACGATCAAAAGTAGAGAAACTTTCACCAAACGTGGACGTGATCTTGTAACTTATAGATTGAACTGATATGCTTAAAGGTGCATTGTGTAACTTTTCTGATGGAGCGTCTGTCACTTGCTTTTGTTGATGTTATTGCTTTGTCTGGAATGTCCCACAGTATGGCATTAAACCTTTCTGTCTTCATGGTGACCAAACTAGACCCAGTTACAGGTCAGATCTGTGAAGAGGCGACCCCGCTCACAGTCAGAATGTCTGTTTTTTGAGGTATTTTTGAGCTGTAAAACCACCTGTAATTGAATAAATGTAAAGAAAATAAATGTTTAATGTCATACTGTGGAACATTCCAGACAGAGCAATGACCTATCCACAGAAACAAGCAGGTGACAAACCCTCAACTGAAAAGTAAACATTTAAATAATATAAAATATGAATATAATAAATCTAAGATGAGCCGACCCCAGTACGTTCCATGAAGACAGAGGTTAAAACAGGTGTAGAGGAGCAGAGGAGTGAGATAAATGCAGCAAAAAATGATGATGAACAGGAAATAGTTTGTAAGATGCCATATGGCTATTCACCGCTTCACTATAATTTGATACATTGATATGAACTGATGTTATGTATTATATTATATCATATTATATTATATTATATTATATTATATGATTTGTATTATGGATTGTCTGCTGCATGAAAAACTAATTTTCTTCGGGATAATAAAGTATCTATCCATCTAGATGTGCGTTTACACTAGCTTCAGCTCTCTTATCCTCTTTCTGGACACTAAAACGATTATTTGACATAGAAATGTCTCAACAGATAGTTTTCTGTAAAACTTATGAGATAGAGACTGAGAAAACAGTCGTGTATATCACGAGTCACGTTGCATGTGCTTATACGAGCACATTACCAAAAGCCATTCTAGAGTATTTAAAAGTGAATCTGTCATTCCTGGTCGATCTATTAGTGGCCATATCTGATCCCGTCAGATCTCAGAAGCTCAGCAGGACTGGGTCTGGTTAGTACTTGGATGGGAGACACTGGGAAAAACAGGTACCACAGGGGGGCACAAAAACTGTCATTGTGTCCTTAGGCAAGACACTTCACCCACATTGCCCAGTAAAAGTGGTGTGTGTGAGTGAGGGATGGTGGTGGATGGAAGGGCCAGTGGTGCAGATTGGCAGCCTTGCTTCTGTCAGTCTGCCCCAGGGCAGCTGTGGCTACAGTAGTAGTTTACCACCACCGGGTGTTGAGTGAATAAAGGTCTGTAAACTGTCTTTGTGACAAAATGTCTGTGAAGAGCTATATAAATTAAAACCAAAAAAACGTACTATCAACATAAAATAAAAAGTGAGGTAAAGATCAAACCCTCCTCTGTCAGAAGATTTCAGATGTAAATCCATGTGGAGCTGTTTTCTGTTGCATCTGAGGAGGACGCCAAGAAAACTGTTTCCCTTTGGGACAAAAATAAATGACAACACAGTGCTCATGGAGGGACACATATATCTGATTGTGACACCAGTATCAAATGACACAATATTATATTGAATATCATTGCTTCCCTACTTTAAGTAGAATTTATGAAGAAAACCTGGAGAAAAGTTGGAGAGAGCCGCACCAAACACATCCAAAATGACCCCACGTGAACCACACCGATGGAAAAGACGCAATCTGTGCAACTTTAAAATAAGAGCCACACAGAAAATTACAATAGTGCATACTGCTAGCATCAGCACACACACACACACACACACACACTTATAAATACTATTGTTTTATTGAACACAGTAAAGCATATAGAGTCATTATATAGAGAGTGTACATTAGAGACTGTTCCTATGCGCAGCCCTGTCAGCATTTCTATAGGTTTAATTAGCTGCTCCCACGTACATTTAACATAACATTCCTATACAGTGTAGTACTAAACCTATATCTGTACTATATCTGTACTACGAACTACTCCCTGACCGACAGTACTGGGATATTAGTATATACTGTACAGTATCATAAAAACTCATATATAAAAATAAGTTAAAGATGCACTAGACCTACAGTACGTAACTTTTCTGATGAGGAATATGCTGCCTGATTGTCTCCATGGTGATGTTATTGCTTTGCCTGGAATATGACACAATATGGCATTAAACCACGCTGAAATACATCATTACAAGTGCTTTTTGTATTGCTAAAAATAATCAAATTACTGTGAGTAAGCTCGCCTCTCAACAGATCTTATCCGTAACTCAGCCTGTTTGCAACAGTTGCTCGTCTCCATGGAGATAGATACGTTTATTGACATACTGTGGAACATTCTAGGCAAAGTAAGAACATGTGTGTGTAAACAGGTCACATCCCACCCTGTAGAATAATCCAAAAGTGTAACAGTGTAGTTTTATCTCTGACGCCCTCTGCTGGTAACAGCTGGGACTGAATTTTTCTCTTTATTTTCATAATTAAACAATATAATTAATCACAGAATACATTTACACAGACATTTTTTCTTTCAAAGAAACTCATTCACCTCGTGTTTTCAGAGGATCCTAATCATTCAGCGCCAGGAGTTTAGAAACACTTTTCACAACTCTCAAAAACAACTAGCATGCTCTCCTCGCACTTTCTGCACACAGCAAAAACTGGAGGGTTAACATTTCAGGGTAAAATATTTGCTGTTTGTTTTTAACACAAAAAGTGTTATTTTAACTATTTGAAAGTTAAA